TGAATAATGGACCTGATGTGCTACTGTAACATAGTAAAAAAAATCTACGTAGTTACATAAATTAGTACGGGAAGAAAGACCTCGGTCTTTCTCTTCCCCTGTCTTTCTTCCTGAATTATTCTACATTAGCCAAAATTAAAACATTAAAAAAATAATTAAAATCAAAAGTAAAAGAGAAATTTAAGAAATGTCTAGTAATTAATTGAATATTTAAGATTTATCATTGACATTGGTACTTTAATCAGAATTATCGCATTGGGAAGTGAGAGCAAAAAAATTTTACTATTTAATTTATTCTTTTATTCCAATTAAACAGATATGGACTGATTGGGAAACAGCAAAAAGTCTAAATTTGATTGTTTCAAGAAGTTCAAATACTTTGGAACCATCCTATATTGCTCAAGTAGTGCACATGTATATCCAATCGTAAACCTTTCTTTTTCCCTGCTTTTCAATTTCTGCGGAAGCCTTTGCTTTCAGGAGAAATTTATCAACTTTACCACCAAAAACAAATATTTAATAATGTCCACAAGAATAAAATTCCCCTGAATTAAATCCATCAAAATGACATGACTATCCTCATATAGAGATTTTTGAATCTACAAAATGAACCTGTATCCTATTTGAAAACTACTCACTGTAGACCGTCACCTGACAGGTAGATTTTACCCCAAGGGTATAATTATCACATCTGGGCCTGTACAAAATGGCAACAGTCAGGGTCAAACTATCCTTATCTTGATTGAATAATAAGAAACACACAAAAATGTTTAATTAAATGGGCAGAGACACAAAGGGCTTAATTTCTCGTGTGAAGCATGTACTAAGTATGTTGTTAAACTTTTTCCTCGCCATTCAATTTGGTCCCTCGCTTCGCTCGCCACCAAATCTCATTGTACTCGGGAAAAGTTTACCAAAATATACCGTATAACTGGATTTTTCTACGGGTGCTATTTTTTGCGAAATTCTGCGATCAAGTCTTGATCGCAAAAAATACGTAAATAAAATCCGGAATTTTCAGTTGCGATCATCGAAGATCTACTTTTACAGATACCGGAAGTATATGTAAATAATGGGTGCGTCGATTTACCCAAATGGACCCAAATGGAACCCAAATGGAACCCAAATGGACCCAAATGGAACACAAATGGACCCAAATGGAAACTCAAATGGACCCAAATGGAATATAAAATATATATATTATATCGTATTCTCAAGTTTTTTCTTATTTAAAATATAGAAAATAATGAAATTAAAACAAAAAAGAATATTTTAATATCATTATTATCTTCAATTGTATTTTTAAAAATGCAATTTAATTCTATTTGTAATAACTATTGAACATACTTGAATACAAAACTGAAGTATCTGAAGTATTTGATATTTTTTATGGCCGTAGGAACGGATGGGGGTGGGGGTGGGGGGGAGGCCATGTCAACCCACAACCCCCCCCCCCCCCCCCCCCTCCCCTACCCCCAAATAATTTTGCCGGTATAGAATACTATCAAAACTTCATGCTTCAAAATACAATATTAGAGATTAATGATTAAAAAAAATCAATTTGTAACTGTAAGTTCATTATTTTCATCATTTTAAATAAGTATTAAAATACGATAATACATGTTTAATATTCCATTTGATTTCCATTTGGGTCCATTTGTGTTTCCATTTGGGTCCATTTGTTTCCATTTGGGTCCATTTGGGTTCCATTTGGGTCCATTTGGGTCCATTTGGGTAAATCGACGCGCCGTAAATAATGCCATTGCACGTTTTCAATCGTATTTTACAGGTAATTTACTTGATATCAACAACAATGATTGTTTTTCGAATAAATAAAACGAATTCCTAAAGATTCAATATTTATTTGTGCCTACATTGTATTTCATGATTTATTTATATGAAACCCGAATAGCAATTGTCGACTTGGCCATTCCGCGGCTTGATCAGATCCTTCACCAGTGTTTACCAGATTTTTCTTAATCGGTTTTCTGTCCTTGAGAAAAGAATTTCTTGTGTAATACATGTATTCCGCTACTGGGATTATATAAACTCTTTATAATCATAAATGAAAGTTCATAGTCTATGGGAACTTACTGAAACGAACTTCTATAAATTAATTTCAGAGAATTATCGTCTCGGTTTCAATTCAAAATAATTGTGACTTTGTTTCTAATTTACCCTGTGAATAATAACCCATTAATTATAACAACACACGGACGACCCACAGGTGTAGAGTCATCTATATAAACACCCAATTAACAGCCCAAGGCCTTCACTGTTTCCAGGTACGTCCAGAATGCATCTATTTTACGCTTGATTGGCGTGTATACAAGCGCAATCAAAACTTCGAGAGATATAGAGAGTAAAATTCAATGAAATATGTGTAACAGGACCCAGGTTTTGGTTTGAGAGATAGAGAATTTCGAGAGATAGAAGTTTGAGAGATCAGGAGTAAATTTGATTAGTTATATAGAGGAAAAAAACGGGACCGGAGGTTCACTTCGAGAGATCGGAGTTCAAGCCATCGAGAGTCACCTGTATTTTAAATTGCTTTGGTTTGTTCAATAAAAAATAAAAATAGACTTTAATGTTTGAATGTCTAGTAATAAAATTCAATAAAAATAGACTTTATTGTCAAAGTGAAATCGCAAAAATTAAAATCGCAGAAAATAAATATACCTATTTCAGGATCAAATCGCAAAAATTTGCACCCGCATTAAAAACCAGTTATACGGTACTTAATCTACCTATAATCATTAAAAACTGTGTGAGTACTTTAAAATTGAATAAATTGATATAAGAAATACAGTATTTACAGTGATTAATTATCAATGATGAAAGCAAAAGAGAATAACTAATGAAAAAAAATAAAGTCAAAGGAAGGTCAAAGTAAAAAAAAATATTGGTGAAGTTGAAATGAACTCTCATCAATGTCAATTGGCATGTAAGGTTTAATAAAAAACTTTTTTAAAGTTTCTTTTCAACTAAAGTAAACATAAATCAAAAACATTAGGCAAAGATCAAACGAAAGGGTCAAGGCTAAAAATAGGGAAAAAATACATTCCATGGTATACAAAATGTTATGTCTCTTCATGCCTTGACAACAATAAAATATATTCCCACATGAAAATTAGTTATTTAAGGAATGAAGCTTATTTTAACCTATGTTATATGACATAACATAACTTGCAGCAGTTAACGTTTTATAAACCACAAAGTAGTTTATAAACAAGAGGCCCATGGGCCTTATAGGTCACCTGAGTATCATGTAACGACTTTCCAACAAATGAATTTGGTTCGTGTTTTAAACCAGAGACCATGAAATTTACAATTTTGAAAGAGGCACCATTGCTTATTACAACTTTACACTTTGCATGCTTACTTTGATTACTTAATACCCAGAGACAGAGCAGAGGAACAAAGAAAATATGCTTTTCCACTTTATGATCAGAAATGCCCCACCCCACAAGAACCCCTGGCCACACAATTCACCACAATTTTGGAAAAGGCACCCTTGCTCATCATAAATGTTTGATTAATACCTACAAAAAGCAGATTTCAAAGCATTAATTCATTTTCAGTATAAAATCATGAGAGCCCCCAACCCCATCAAGGTACCCCTGCCCAAGGGCCTTGAAATTCACAATTCTGGAAAAAGCAAACTAAAGCTTGCTCATCATAACTTTGTACTTAAATCCTCAGCATAATACCCAGTTACAAAGGAGATTTTCAAAGAATTAATGCATTTTCAGTATATACTCAATAAAGCCTAACCCTAACACCAGAACCCCTGACCCAGGGTCCATGAAATTCACAATACTGGAAGAGGCACCTTTCTTCATCATACCTATGTACATAGTTCATTGGATTAATACCCAGGAGCAGAGACAGTTTAAAAGAATTAATGCATTTTCACTTTATAATCAATGGAGCCTGCCCTAGCTAACACCAGAACCCCTGATCCAGAGTCCATGAAATTAACAATTGTGGAAGACGCAACCTTCCTCAACATAACTATGCATGTAGTTTGTTTTTGTAAAACCCAGGAGCAGAGAAGATTTTCAAAGAATTCATGCTTTTTCACTATATAATCAATAGAGCCCTGCTATAACACTAGAACCCCTAACCCAGGGGCCATGAAACTCACAATTTTGGTAGATCGAGGGCTCAATGCTTATTACAATCATACTAACAGTTTGGCTGCTTGATGTTCAGGAGTAAAGAAGAAGATTTTTAAAGATTGAATTAATTTTAGTGGTTTTTGCCCCATCCCTCCCCCCTTGGGAGGCAGGGGCCATGAAATTCATATTTACTCCCGTTCATCCATAGATGCTATATACCAAAATTAATCAGTGGTTTCATATAAGAAGCTGAAAATGTTTAAATAACACATGACAGATGACGGCGAATGAAAACAGATATCAATAACCCTAAGTAAGTCAGGTGACCTAAAAAGCGTAAACTGCCCAAAGTTATGTTATATCGTATAACATAGGTTAAAATCAGCTTCATTGCTTATACTGGTGATTCAATTTCAGTGCAGATAATAAGACAATTTTTCCTCAAAAAATGGCTTTAAATTGAACATATTTTAAAAGCAACGTCAAGCGGAGTAATACGTTTGACATAACTCATTGTGACGTAGCAACTTATGTTATACAATATAAAATAAATCTTTCATTCAATCACATGTTACAACTAAAATCAAATACTGTAAAAGCACAAATATTCGTGGGGGATTTAATTTCATTTATTTTGTTGTTTACAATTATTCAACAAAATTAAATCCCGCACAAAATTTTATATGGCTATACATTGAATAGGGTTCCCTTCAAAACAACGAAATTAAATGCCAACGAAACTATATGTGATGATAAATCAACAATATTTTATCCCAACGAAAATTTGTGCTTCTACAGAATTTCACTGTATAATGCATGCATATCTAGGGAAGTATGCATAAAATGTACCTGTTTTTGTTTGATAAGATCTTTAAGCTGTTGATTCTTTGAAATGAATTCCTGATGGAGATTTTCCAATAATGGACAAGTGGCATGGGAACTCAGCAACTGAGGAAATCAAAAATGTTATTTAACGTCAATATTGGAAATGATTCAAACGAATCTGAATTTATGCATAATTTTAAACAAGAATGACATTTACAAACTAGATAAATATAATAACTTTTCTGTCACATAATAACAGGAACAAATTCCATATCTAATTTCAAATGTACATAGAATTCACAAGTGAAATATTTGTTGATGAAACTATAAATTTTTATATTCATGAGGGTTGTCCATAAAATTGAGGACAAGTCTGGATTGAAGAATATAATCGTCCCTTCATTCTAATATTTTCACTACTCATTAGTATATTCTTCAATAAACATAGCAAATTCCAAAAAGATACATGCATAAATAAAAAATTATCAAATTTTATGTTCTTTTGCCTTTAATTATGGCACATGAATGATAATGTCATCTAAAGCAGCATCACTTTTCCTTTTTGCTAAAAAGAGTTGGATAAGTTCCACTTAAATTTAGGAATTTCATTGATGCATATACTTGAGTGAATTTACCCTCTTATGTTGACAATAATTTGTACAAACTGAAAATGAATGCCATATCTGCTAAAATTTCAATCATCTGCAAAAAGTAGCTGCTGAGAAAACTGTGATGGAAATTTGGTATGGACAGAATTTTATGCATGGGTAAACAAGTAGTTGACATTTGAACAAAAATATATTGAATCCCACAATACACAAGCCAAATGTATGGCTTGCCTAAACACTGTGTGTGCTGAAATTTCAATCATCTGTGATGAGTATTTGCTAAGAAAACTGCCAAGAAAATTTGTAATGAACAGGACAGACACATGGACACACAGCTAGACACACAAGGGTAAAACAGTATACCCCCTCTCCTTCAGAGTGGGGCTAAAAATACTTAAAAGTAAATGAAAATTTGATGAGGTTTAAAAGATCCAAATTAGAAACAACAAGCAAATTCAAAGAATTGTGGTCCTCAGCTCTCGGTGTCTTTTTGGATGATTTTCATTTTTTTAATGACATTTTGTGTCTAATATGAACGCCCTATCATACGTCATCTATTAAGAAATTATCACTGAACTCCAACGTCAAGGTCAAAGGGTTAACATTCTTGGTATACAATGAAAAGTCTTCTCACAAGGATTACATATGTAAAGTATGAAACCCTTACCATTCAAAAGTTATGGTCAAGGTTAAAGTTTTCTCATAAGTACAAAAAATCTCCAAGGTCAAGGTCAAAAGGTCAAGGTTGTTGGTATCAAATGAAAGGTCTTGCCACAAAGAATACATATGTGAAATATGAAAGTCCTGGTATCTACTGTTCAAAAGTTGTGGCCAAGGTCAAAGTTTTTGAAAAGTAGGTCAAACTCCAAGGTCAAGGTCCAAGGGGCAAAGTTCTTGGTATTCAATGAAAGGTCTTCTCACAAGAATTATATATATAAAGTATGAAAGCCCTAGCCCTTACCATTCAAAAGTTATGGCCAAGGTTAAAGTTTTTTTTTATAAGTAGGGAAATCTCCAAGGTCAAGGTCAAAAGGTCAAAGTTGTTGGTATCCAATAAAAGGTCTTGCAATAAAGAATATATATGTGAAATACAAAAGTCCTAGTACCTACCATTCAAAAGTTATGGCCAAAGTAAAAGTTTGAAATTTTTTTGTAAAAGTGCCTCAAACTCCAAGGTCAAGGTCAAAAGGTCAAATTTGGTGGTACCCAAAGAAAGGTCTTGTCACAAGGAATACACATATGAAATATGAAAGTCATAGCTCCACTGAATAAAAAGTTATGGGCAAGGTTTAAGTTTTTGTGACAGACGGACAGATTGATGGACAGACAGACGGACAGACGAATGAGATTTAATGATCCCTCATTTTCGCGAAAGCAGGGAACAATAAAGTAGCCCTCTCCCTTTTAGAAGGGACATGCCATTTTATTGGTGTACTGTATATCGTGATTTTTAGCTGGGCTTATTGCTCAAAAGAGCAATTGCCGGCTTATGTGATCCTGTTCAAGGCAGGATGTTGACCCCATAGTCGCCATTTTAAAGTTACGTGCAAAAATATAGTTCTTACTCTCAACCGCTTTTGAGATAATACAAACGCTAAATAATTTAGCAACAAAAATAAAACGAAGTTTTATCTATATAAAATAAACATTAGTAGTAATGACTCTGAAAACTTCATAAGTCAAAGAACATAGTTCATTAGCATAAGGATTTTTGATAATCAGTGTTACCGTAGTTCTCTACACATACGAGGTAAAGCAGGAGAGGGAACCAGACTGGCCTGTTTGTTTACATTCAGCTGCGGTACCAGATTAATTCAGATTCTGACAAAATCGGACCGTGGTATTAGGATTGAAAAACTCACTGTCAGTGTCTTATGATTTATATTGATAGTTTTAAAATAATTTTTTCATCAGAATATAAACAAGATTCATGTAAGAAATCCATTCTACTCTGTAAATGAGCCCGGCTCTCTGTATTTCTGAGTACTTTGATTTAATGTGTGATACAGAGACTTAAATACCTGTATTTAGGTTCATACTACAAAGTTTTGAAATTATTAATTTATTTGGTCAATCTTTAAAACTACAATTACAGAAAGTGTAAAAAATGTTGAACAAGATGTGTTTGTGAAACACGGATGCCCCAGTATGGCAACATAGCAAAGATTAAACTTTGATTTGTTAAATGCAAATTTAATAAATTGGTACCAAAAGCAGGGTATTCTCACGGGAAAACAATTGTGAAATTTGAAAGTAGGCCAATGTTAAACTTTTTTCAATAAGTACAAAAATCTCCAAGGTAAAGGTCAAAATGTCAAGATAATTGGTATCCAATGAGAGGTCTTGCCACATAGAATACTTATGTAGAGTATGGAAGCCCTAACCCTAACAGTTCAGAAGTTATGGCCAAGGTTAAAGTTTTTTAAAAGTAGGTCAAACTCCAAGGTCATGGTCAAAGGGTCAAAGTTCTTGATATCCAATGAAAGGTTGTCTTGTCACAAGAATTAAATATGTAAAGTATGAAAGCATTGGCCCTAACCCTTTAAAAGTTATGGTCAATGTTTACTTTATTAAAGTAGGTCAAACTCAAGGTCAAGGGGTCAGAGTTCATGGTATCCAATGAAGGGTCTTCACACTAGAATAACATATATGAAGTACGAAATTCCTATCCCTTACCGTTCAAAAGTTATGGCCAAGGTTAAAGTTTTTTCAAAAGTACAGAAATCTACAAGGTCAAAGGGTCAACGTTGTTGGTATCCAATGAAAGGTCTTTCAACAAATAATACAAATGTGAAGTATAAATGTCCTGGTATTTACTGTTTAAAAGGTATGGACCAAGTAAAAGTTTAAAATTTTCATGAAAAAGTTGGTCAAACCCCAAGGTCAAGGTCAAAAGGTCAAATTTGGTGGTACCCAAAGAAAGATCTTGTCACAAGGAATACGCAGGTGAAACATGAAAGTCATGGCTCCACTAAATAAAAAGTTATGGGCAAGGTTGAAGTTTTTGCAGACAAACAGACAGACAGAGAGACAGCTAGACAGACAGAGAGACAGACAGACAGTTAGACGGACACAACAAAAACTATATACCCCCAAAACTTCATTTATGGGGGCATAAAAAGGTCGAAAGAATGGTATCTTAGCATCAAAACATGTCATTAATTTTATGTAAATACCAAGATGTGTTTGTGAAACACTGATGCCCCCGTATGGCATAATAGCCAAGGTTAACCTTTCTGAAATTCAGATCAAATATGTTGGTACCTAATGTAAGACCTTTCAAAAGAAATGTGAAATATAAAACCATAGCACCACCTGTTCAAGGGTTAGACCAAGGTTAACATTTTTAAAGGTAGGACAAACTCTGGGGTCAAGGTCAAAGGGACAAGGTTGTTTGTGGTTTCTAAAGAAAGGCCTTGTCTCAAAGATTATATATGGGAAGTATGAAAGCGCTGGCCCTTACCGTTCAAAAGTTATCGCCAAAGTTAAAGTTCGTTAAAAGTAGGTCAAACTCCGAGGTCGAGGTCAAAAGGTTAATGTTCTTGATATCCCACAAAAGGTCTTGTCACAAGAATTACATATGTGAAAAATGAAAGCTCTAGCCCCTACTGTTCGAAAGTTATGGCCAAGTTTGTAAAAAGTATGTCAAAGGGTCAAAGTTGTTGATATCCAATGAAAGGCTACATATTTGAAGTATGAAAGCCCTAGCCCCTACGTTCAGAAGTTATGGCCAAAGTAAAAGTTTCTTCGTAAGTACAAAAATCTCAAGGTCAAGGTCAAAAGGTCAAAATTGATGGTATCAAATGAAAGGTCTTGCCAAAAATAATCATTACCTGAAATAGGAAATTCTTAATATCTACCGTTTAAAAATTAGGGCCAAGGTAAAATTTTGGAATTTTTGTGTAAAAGTGGATCAAACTCCAAGATCAAGGTCAAAGGGTCAAGGTTTTTTATATCAAATGAAAGGTATTGTCACAAGGATTAAATATTTGAAGTATGAAAGCCCTAGTTCTAACCCTTCAAAAATCATGTTCAAGGTTGTATTTTAAAGTAGGTCAAACTCCAAGGTCAAGGTCAAAGGGTCAAAGTTCTTGGTATCCAATAAAGCGTCTTTTCACAAGGATTACATATGTGAAGTATGAAAGTCCTATCCCTTAGCGTTCAAAAGTTATAGCCAAGGTTAAAGTTTTTTTTATAAGTAAAGAAATCTCCAAGGTCCAAGTCAAAAGGTCAAGGTTGTTGGTATCCAATGAAAGTTCTTTCCACAAAGAGTATATATGTCAAGTATAAATGTTCTGGTATTTACTGTTTGAAAGATATGACCAAAGTAAAAGTTTGAAATTTTTGTGGAAAAATGGGTCAAACTCCAAGGTCAAGGTCAAAAGGTCAGATTTGGTGGTACCCAAAGAAAGGTCTTGTCACAAGGAATACACATGAAGTATGAATTTCTTGTACCATAGTTAGGTGTGATTTCTTTTGTTAAAAGTGTGGGTTTTCTGTACATAACCCACACTTTTCTATAACTCCGCCCATCAAGTCGGGACAAAAGAACTATTTATAACACGATCATGCACAGTTTTTAAATGAAGCAATCATACGGGCTTGTTATACCAAATTTAGGAGAGTAAAAAGGAGTGAAAATTTTCAATTGTATACAGCATTTTGTAATAAATAACAGTTAAAAACGGCCATTAATACTTTACATACTTTAGTTAAAAGTGAAGAAAAAACTTTAGAAATCGCTTTTTTTATAAACATTTTTTTAAATAGTGTAATGACCAGGGTGACGTTAGCTAAGTAGATTCTAATATATTGTTCTTTTGATAACCAACAAAGGAAACACGGTACATACTTGACGTAAAAGCAAGTGTACACTACTGTACTTGAATAACATTGTCGATTGCGGATCAAATTTTCATTAAAATGAAATATACATAACCCCTAACAAACATTTCAATCAACGTACCACTGTGCACGGCAAAGTTTGTATCAGATTTACAAAAATTTAAGGTAAACCAAGTTCATAATAAATTTAAATTACTAGTACAGGGTGTTTCACAATATATGTCACACATCTAAATGGGCACAATCTGAATATCAAGCATGATACCAAAAATACCAAAACACTTTAGGAAAGCATATTGATTTAAAATTATGATATTGCAAAGTATCGAAAAAATTATAATATACCATGAAGTAAATGATGATATAATCAATGATGCCATAATTTCAGGTGTTTTCAAAATGGAGGGCACCTTGCAGCAAAAATTTGTTGTTAACTTTAATTATTAGAACAATATCCTAAATATTGTGTAGGGTGTGATGTTGAAAAATATCCAAACCAGAAATTGTCGTCTAGTTTACATATATTAAGAATAATTAGAGAGTTTGAACTAAATCATATTAATATAAAGATGAAAGACAGTTAAATCCTGCCTCCTCAACACCCAACCCCCCATCCCCGAAAAAAAGAAAGAAAAGATAAGAAAAATATCAAAGTGAAGTCAGTCATTGAGAAAACCTCATGAACGTAAGATCAGAGTTTGGAGAAATACATTGTAACAATGCCGGTAATTGTATCAAGTGTATTTAGAAATCTTAAATTTGAGTTAGGTACATGTATGTCTGCACACAAGATTTCAGCATTTAAAGCCAATTGACGTTCAAGGCCGGTTACAGTTTGCAAGATTGACTGAAAGGAAGAGCGGAAGAAGTGGACACTAATTAACACACACCGGAAGTTCTGAAACGACATATTTATCTAAATGCAACTTTAAATAAATATAGATATGCACTTTGGGGGTTCTAAAAAGCCGATTTGAAACAAAAATTGTCTCAAGTATTCTGTGAAGCTTAAAAAACAGTGGTCAGAAATTTATAAGCATTAGTCTCTTAAGTTATTTAGGACAATTTTGGGAAAACACTTGGAAAATAGCGGTTTAGGATTTGTTGCCATAGTAACTGAAGTGAAGAATGTTGGATACTTCTGACTCCAAAAAATAATTTTGAATATATGCTGATTAAAATGATATATAAAATGTTTATGTAGCTTTTGTTGTCATTTATTTATCTGTCTTTAGATGTGTGACATATATTGTGAAACACCCTGTATGTAATTTTGACGATTGAAATTTACAAGAAAAAAAAATCATATCAAATTAACATATATCATTGAAATCAAATTCGTTATTTTTTCAATTACATAAATCAAACTTTTTAAACGGGCCTAGATATGTTTAATTTTTATGTCGCTTGCGTGGCCCAGTGGTTAAAGCACCTGCCCTAGAGCCACGAAATAAGGAGTTGAATCCCACTGTGGGACGTGGAGACCTATAAAGTATAAACAGAGGTACCGTGTCGCAGAAGGTGTTGGCATGAAGATCCCTCACTGTTCAATACTGTTCAATGACCCTGAGTGCCGAGTATAGGGCAAAACTTGTAGCAAAATTTAGAAAGTATTGTATACAAATCACTTACCCTATATTCGATGGACGTGGTCAGAAGGACACGAAGAAGCTTAAAATCATATAAAATCCAAATGCATCTTTGAAACAAAACACTTAATGTTTCAATCACACGAACCAGTCCGACCGATTCCTAAGCTGACTTACATGTGAATGATTTTTGAAAACTATGGTACAAGTCATTTACCCCATATCACACTGTTGTTTATGTGTAGATACCCGATGGGCGTGGTCATAATGACAACTCGGGAGCTACGCTCCCTCGTGTCATTATGACCACGCCCATCAGGTATCTACACATAACCAACAGTATGATATGGGGTAACTACTACATAGCTCCACTAAATCAAAAGTTATGGGCAAGGTTAAAGTTTTTGCGGACAAACAGACAGAGAGACAGACAGACAGACAGAGAGACAGACAGAGAGACAGACGGACATGACAAAAATTATATACCCTCAAAACTTTGTTTACGGGGCATGAAAAAATTAAAAAGACATTAGTGTAATTTTTTCCTAACATTTTTTAGACCAGAAGTCTCTGTCGAGACTGAGGCTCTACTGGTTTGTACTTATAGGAAAGGAAGAGAAAAGTACTTAAGCAGTTGGGAATTGAAACTTTACAACAGCAATAAATAGAATAATGATCCCTGATAAATTCTCTTTAAGTTTTTAGTGTAGTCTACTTGCATGCCACATTATATCATAATCAGACTAAAACTGTATTTGGAATAGCATTTTGAGAGTATTTAACAGAAATTTCTATTTTTAGTAACCAAGGCAATAATGTTCATCGAAGTCAAAAAACGATATACAGATTTGTGTATCTAAGTGGAGTCTACTTGTGTGCAAAGTTATACTGAAATCAAACCAAAACTGTAGGAGAAGTAGCATATTGAAAGAATTTCACAGAAATTTCTATTTTTAGTAACCACGGCAACAAAGTTCAGCGAAATTAAAAAACCGATATAAAAAAATCATGTATCTTAGTGTAGTCTACTTGTGTGCCAAGTTATATTGAAATCAGACCAAACCTGTAGGAGAAGTAGCATTTTGAAAGAATTTCACTGGAATTTTCTCTTTTTAATAACCATGGCAACACCATTCATCAAAATCAAAAACTGATATACAGAATTATGTATCTTAGTGTAGTCTACTTGTGTGCCAAGTGATACTGAAATCAGACCAAAACTGTAGGAGAAGAAGCATTTTGAAAGAATTTCACAGAAATTTTTATTTTTAGTAACTAAGGCAACAGCGTTCATAGAAATCAAAAAGTGATAAACAGAATTATGTATCTAAGTGTAGTCAACTTGTGTGCCAAGTTATATTGAAATCAGACCAAAACTGTAGGAGGAGTAGCATTTTGAAAGAATTTCACAGAAATTTTTATTTTTAGTAACCACGGCAACACCGTTCATCGAAATCTAAAAAAAATGATATACAGAATTATGTATCTTAGTGTAGTCTACTTGTGTGCCAAGTTAAATTGAAATCAGACCAAAACTATAGGAGGAGTAGCATTTTTAATGTTTTTCACAGAAAATTCTATTTTTAGTAGCCACGGCAACACCGTCCATCGAAATCAAAAACCGATAAATAGAATTATGTATCTTAGTGTAGTCTATATGTGTGCCAAGTTATATTGAAATCAGACCAAAACTGCAGGAGGAGTAGCATTTTGAAAAATTGTTTACAGACAGACAGACAGACAGACAGACAGACGGACGGACGCAGGACGCATTACTATCGCATAAGCTCTTCTGGTCTCTGACCAGTAGAGCTAAAAAATGATGTGCATTTAAAATCATTGTTTACTTAAAATTGCTTGTAAAAATATCACCATATTATCTTTAATTGTCTCAAGAAAATATCAGATTAAAAAAAATTGAAGAGGGATACATTATAATATTGCAGCTAGGGCTAAATGAGTGATGACCCAGATGGTAAATAAGAGATGATATGAGACTGGGATAAGACCCCAGAAATTATAAAAATACACATTCAGTATACTGTAGAGCTGAGTTTCCCTTGAGCTTCTTGTTATACATCTTAAATACTGGTATGTCCACTTTAACAGTTTACAATCTCCTTAACCCAGGAATCCTTTGTATTCATTTTGGTTAAAATTGGCCCTGTCAGGTTCTTGAGAAGAAGTTGAAATCACTAAATGAAATGTGAAAAGTTTACAGACAGACAGCTAGACAGACAGACACCAGACACCAGGTGATCAGAAAAGCTCACTTAAGCTTTCAGCTCAGGTGAACCTAAAAACAGATAGCAATAGGTCACCTTAGTGATGCAAGTGACCCAAAACTTAAAGATTATCTGGCGGCATGCTAAAATGTTCACTCATTTGGAATACTGCTCCTGGAAATTCTGTTAATTTTTAAGATAGTATGTGGGTTAAAACAACAGAAGACACAGACAACATACATACATAATCCTGGTTCACTGGAAGTGTGTGGACTGGGATAGGCTGCCAGGTATTATTCCAGGCCTGAGTGATGTTCTGTGAAGGATAGAGTCCAGCTAACACACAATAGGCACTCATCAAGGTCCGGTCTGTGTCTGTACTCCTCACAAACACCTACAAGTCATACCATGTGCATACTGTATAGCAGGTTGAAATCGCTGTCGGAAAAGATTGCGATTTGTTCAATTTTCAGCAAATCGCGGTCGTTTGAATTCGCGGAAAGGAAAATTCATACTTTTTAATCAGTACTTGTAAGCATTTTTCTTTAGGTATATATATTGTGTTAACTAATATTTCCTGTCTCTATCTTAAGAAAGTCTGTATATGTATATCGCACATATCAGACAGGCAAGGCAATTCTATATATTGTGTCATTTTTGAGCCCGATTGAAGTATAATGAAACGCCGCTCTGATCCCGATTTGAAGTCAAAACAATGTAACGCAGATTTAATTTCTATTTCCAAGTCCAAATCAGTTAAAAATGTACCATAGTCAAAATGTTATACTTCTAATCACATAATTAAAATTAATTGTCTTTACTCTGTTTACAACATAAGTGCCTTGATTAAATGCAATGACTAAATGATACGCACGGGTGAAATAAAAACAAGCATGTTTTATCAAATACATGTAATTACATCGCACGTCTTCTAGATGGAAAAATTAATCGTTAGCTGTAGAAATTAATTTAACAATTAATAAGCTTTAAAAACCTTCGTAATTGATCCATACACCCGCATAATTATAAAGACAGTCTACATCTTGAATGTATTAAAATTACTGCCTTTGTATTTGTACGGAAACACAAATAGATTTGAAGAATCGAATCACAGATAACAGTAAAATTTCAATTTATTCTTATAAATCTTTTATAGAATTATTCACTGTATGTTGAATTCGCGGAATTTCTTCTTCCGCGAATATAGCGAAAATTAACTCCGTGAGTTAATTTCCTGCTGTACAGTATGTCTTAATTAAATATGCCAATGTTTTCCACTGAATCTGAACGAACTTCGAAGAAGGATGCTTTGATACCATGGTTAACAACACATGACCTGAATTTGACCTTTAAACGTTAATTGAACTACTTTCAAAATAGTTCAAAGTACCAATAAACAGATTTTTTTTACTCTTAAAAGATCAAGTCTATGCTATTTACCATTGAAAAGTTTGTTACAAATTATTAGCAAAAGTAATACCATGTAGCAGGTATTTTAGCAGGGTGCCGAGTTTCACTTAGTTTAGTGGTTTTATAGTAAGCCACTAAAATTTTGATTGCCAGATTTGCACCCTTCATTATCACCACTGAGTACAAGGAAAATCACTTAAATAACTTTGATTAATCTGTTGTATAATCATATGAATATAACTTTCACCTGGTACATCAGTGGCAGATCCAGGAATTTCGTAACCAGGGTGGAGGTGGGGTGGGGGGGTAGAAGGCAGAAGATTAGGTGGCTGTACTGAAGCCCCCAGTGGGACTATGGCAAGGTCCTTTTTGGGAGTCCAGCTGACAATATCGTACAAATAAGAGATGTTTTTTCCCTTGATTTTAGGATATTTGATATATAAATTTAATATACAAAAATTTCAAATGGGTGGGGTGGGGGGGGGTACAAGCCTGGCGTGCCGGCCTTGGATCTGCCTTTGTACATATATTGTTTTTACAGAAACTTTTGTCAAAAAGAGGAATTTCTTCTCTTTTACTATGTCATGGAACTCTGTGTCCGCCAAAAAATCTCTGCCAAAATTATTGGCATACCTCTGAGCAAGCAAAATGCCAAGTTTTACAACCGTTAGAGAAACATGAATAGTATTTTACAGTTTGCATTACCTTGATCTTTGATATATTTGTGCACAGATTATTATTGTTTAATAGTTAAGGAAGACAGTTGAGGCCAGTTCAGAGAAAGAAATATACTTTATTGTGTTTGAACACAAAAATTATTGCATTTAATCACAAATATCATTCCACTATATTGCAATTTAATATTATTTATTATTTTTTTCTATTGTTGCCAGCTTTCTGATTGGCTCAAACTAGATCACATGATCAAGTATTAAAGTGTTTTTGACTGGATGTTTCTATTTTAAAAATTCATAAACCTGCTGTTTCTAAAATTTGAAACGTTCTTTGGTGAAGCAACAATAGTGCTGAGTCCCTGCTGACGTCACAATTAATAGTCGTTATATAGAGAATAATACATACCCTTTTCCATATCACATCCTGTATCAGCCCGAGACACCAATATCAGCCAGAGGGCCAAAGGCTGCAACGTTATTGTTGACAACTTACACGAACGATCATGTTACACGAACGATTCCGCACGATTAAACCTGTTACACAATCGATTCTTCACGCTAACGATTCTACACGTTACACGATCTTACACGATTGCTAACGTAAACACACGATTCTTCACTCAAAATAGTTCAAAATATTTAGGAATCGATGTTTTCAAAACGAAATACGACTTAATACTGATTATAGATTTCAAAGAATTATCAATATAATTTCATAGACTTTGAAAAAAAAATCGTAAATGGATATTTCTATAACCTAATACATGTAAGACTTATTTATTATTTTAGATTATACATTATTATAATTTTAATACGAAATTCTCCGACCTAAGAAACGGATTTTTTTCGCTCTATCATAAGATGCACATGTAGTTGGGTCGTAAAATTTGATTGAATCCGATTTCATAATATGCAGAAAGGGGGAAACAATTAAAAAAATATGGCAGCATGGAAAGATTTGAATTACGTGTTACATGTGTATCCATATGTTTCCATTGATTCAATGTTTGTGATTCTCTAAAATGAACTTGCCAATTATTTCATTAGCAGAAATTAAAGAAAACTAGAGGTACTGTGAGCAATGAGCTCACTAAATGATACCCCCCGCCTCCCATATGAATAAAATGTCAGTGTCCATGTTTTGCTCTGGAAAATCCAAAATATATGTCAGATCAAAAAGTAAAATAGGAGGTGCACAATGGCAATATGTAATAAAGATTCTGTGAAAGTTTCATCAAATTTCATTCAGTGGTATGAGAGGAGTTGCGGATAAGAGATGGGTACCCCAAAGCGTAACAGACGGACGGACGTAGAGACGTACAGACGGACGGAATTAACGATTACTATATACCCTCCCGCTTTTTAAGCGGGGGGTATAATAATAATTAAAAGTAAGTTACTGAGAAAACACTGACAAACAAAAACCCGAAAATCATGTCGATTGCATTAAAATTTTTTTTTATTTGTTAAACATTTTATATTTGATGAACTGATTTTAAAAATATCTTGACCACAATTAGCAGTAAACAAGAATGAAAATCAGAGAAATAAAAAGTTAAACTGATACACGCACGATCTCGCATGTTACACGAACGATCACCAACGATACACAAACGATTCTACACGATTGGTTTGTCAACAATAACGTTGCAGCCACTGTACAGTTTTGGTTTGTTTCTGCATGTACTTCTATTTCAGATGTCCTCAATCCGTAATTTTAAAATAATCTTTTATTTATCAGTTAGATTATCATTACCTTCAAAAAGTTAAAATTAAGAGAATTATGTAACCCCCAAAATATGTTTATTATCACAAGTACTTTTTTAAGATTTAATTTACTAGGGTTGTGATATTGATTTGATCAGCCCTGCAGGGCTGCACAGATAACCTATATCAGCCCTGCAAATCCATATCAGCCCTGCAGGGCTGATACGGCTATTGTGACGTCAGCCATATCGCATATGCAAAAATCCTGTATTTATTACTAAGTATGTAATAAAAACTGGATGTTTCTAAAAACAGATACTGCAGCTGGTATTCATTTCTGTGACGTCATAATGCAAATGACATAACATTGCCTTAAATGAGAAGGTACTGAATATTTATAGAAAGAGAAATTTTAAGACATATTTTATTAACTGATAGAAAAAAAAAATAAAACAATTGTAGCCTTTTGATTTGGTACAATCCATAGATATATAGACCTTAGAGAAAGCATATCGACCTCAAACTTCATGCCCGGTCGATATGCTTTCTCGAAGGTCTATATATCTAGGGACTGACCTCATCAAAAGGCTATAATTGTATAGTAAATTGCATTTAAATGCTTCACACCATTCCATCCCCAAACCCTGCCAAAATTAGCCCAAAAAACGAAAAAAAACACACACATAGTTTGACTTCTCTTACATATTGAAACTGCTTTACACCACACACACTTCAGACATCTCATGACCTACAGCTCACCCTAATAGTATCCAGTTCATTACTTACCCTACTTCTATTGTAGTTAGTTGACAAGAAGCCCAATTTTTTGATGTACAAGTCTCTCACAGATTGTCCAAGTCGGTACTCTTGATCCATCCCACGCTGGAAAAATGTAAGGGATTATCAAAATCTACATTGAGATAGAGCTCTAGTCTCTATGTTTTAGCGCTCTCTTTGAATACTTTTTGATAATAACTTTAAATGTGGTAGAGAGCAGGATGCAGCAACACAAAAACGATCAAAGAATTTACTTTAAAAATTTTTAATTAAAACTAGAGGTACTGTGAGCAATGAGCTCACTAAATGATACCCCCCACCTCCCATATGAATATAATGGCAGTGTCCATGTTTTGCTCTGGAAAATCAAAAGTATATGTCAGATCAAAAAGTAAAATAGGAGGTGCACAATGGCAATATGTAATTAAGAATCTGTGAAAGTTTCATTAAATTTCCTTCAGTGGTATGAGAGGAGTTGCGGATAAGAGATGGGTACCCCAAAGCGTAACAGACAGACGGACGGAAATACCGATTACTATATACCCTCCCACTTTTCAAGCGGGGGGTATAAAAAACTAATTACATATAAAGACTTTAGCAGGTCTAACATTCAAAATAAACAAACCAATGAATAGATATTGAGCACTGTTAGAAAATCTATCTCAATAGTCATTCTCCTTCAAGCTGGCCACTCTTGGTCAATAAAGAACATTTAATGAAAGAAAAAAAAATTGGTATATTTCCAAGGTTATAAATATTCAGTTTGCCCCCTAGATTTGGGGAGCAGAGAAAATGCATTTTCACTATAGATGCAATGTGGCCCCATTCCTAAGAAATTCACAATTTTGGAGAAAGCATCTTTGCTCATCATTATACCCCACTTGAGAAAAGGGAGGGTATATACTGTACAGGGGGAAAATAACTTGCGGTGTTAATATTCGCTATATTCACGTTGTTAATCGATCCGTGAATTCAAGAAACAGTGAATAAGTTTTCAATAGGTATAGATATTAAGGGAGGAAAATTTTATTATATACAAATTCCGCGAATTCAAGAAACCGTGATTGTGTCAAAGAAGAGAAAAACGTGAAAATTACAACCCGTGAATTTAATCCCCTATACAGTAGTGATCAGGATCATCTGAACATTTATCCTTCTGTCCATCAGTATGAGCACTGAGCTCACTATATCTTCCCGCTTCCCATATAATTATAATGACAGTGTCCATGTTTTGCTAGGGGAAATTCAAAATATGAGTTCAATCAAAAAGTAAAATAGGAGGTCATAATGGCACTATGTAACAAAGATTCTGTGAATGTCTCATTAAATTTCATTCAGTGGTATATTAGAGGAGTTGAGGATAAGAGATGGGTACCCCTAAGCGTAACACATGGACAGCTAAATGGACTGATGGATGTACATAATTATGGACGGAAATCCTGATCACTATATACCCTCCAACTTTTCAAGTCGGGGGTATAATAATCACATGATACTTTTGTTAACTGTCCGTATCCTTGTGACCAGTTATATTCTTTAATGGGATCCAAAGGATATCCACGCATGGCACTCCTATCTCCATGTCTGTATACCTACAAAGAATTTATCTCATTTAGTCATTGAGTACAAAGCTAACCAGCCTGTGTAAGTCTAGACCACCAATCTTTTAGCAAATAATTATATAAAATCACAAAAAGGGGCACATTTGCTAGGAAAAAAGGCAGAAATCAATTCAGTAATTGAAAACTTTAAAAATGTTGTCCAAAATTATCCCTCCTTAAAAAGAGGTGAAAGGGGTGGGGGTGGGTTGGGAGGTGGGGGGTCATGATTTGAAAAAACAAACAAACTTGAATCTGCACAAACTGCTTCCATAATTTTTTGACTAACCATAAGGCTTTTGAAGTTATACAAGACTATATATTTTTTCTTACAATGTCTGATCTTCATCCCAAGGGGTAAAAGTTTGAACAAATTGAGATCTACACCACCTGAGGATGCCTCTGAATTAATATGTCATTTAATAATAATGATTTTCGCTGGTTAGACATGATAGGGGAAGCTTCTGGATAATTTTTCCTATATATTCATCGTTTGTATATAACTGTGATCACTTGCTGTGGCCCTTTTTTATGGTGGTATATATCGATCTGCCCCATAAAAGCAAAATAAATTAGTCTACATGCAAGAAAATTATTTGATTTAAATATGGGTAAAATCCCTTATTAACACCCATAACTAACATATCATACATGCAAGATGCAACATAATTATGTAAATATGTGAGTTATTTATGTCAACGTCAACATCATACAAGATGTTTATGTCAACACACAGGTGAATTATGCAGACGTGTGACTTATTTAGAATTCAACACGTGACATATTTATATGAAAGGTAGTAAGTGTAAATTCAAGTTTGTTCATATCATTTATAAACAAGTTGAACGTTCACGTGATCATATATCATCAATATATTTTGAAGTGGCCTTAGTTACCCTGACACATTTTTTTCTGGGAATCAGTAAAGTGGTTCTGTCGAAAAAAAAAGCTTAATGTTCTTTGTTGTATAATATATATAGTCTGACTATGAATAAAATTTACTTATACTTACCTACTTCAAATAACTTTCATCTAATTGTCTAATTGTTGTTTTATGCATAAAATTATCACCCAAGCCAGTTGATTGATAATCATGAAACCAACAAATCTGACAGTTATTCAAAATGCTCTTGATTCCGCAAATTGACATGCTAGCCCCGCTTCGTCTCTATTTGTCCCACCACCCCATGATTTTTTTAAACCGTGCCTATCGATGTATGGATCGATCAACCAGTAGATTTATGTAGAAATAAATTATTTTTACCATTTGTAATTTTATTTCAGACAAAGACATTGGAAATGTAAATATTACATTTTGAATTCCCCAATGTCAGCCTAAGCCAGGTCGGATATGATACAAAGTTATTAATCACTATAACCCCCACCCCAAAAAATCACTGAAATAAGCTATTCCTTACTATGTGTACGAGACGTAGTGAACGTGTAGAAAGTTCTCCATTTGTTTGATGTCTTGCTTGGAAAAGACAAAGTATAAAAATGGCAGTAACTACCAGACTAAGAAATGTGGGAAAGTGTTTCATTTCATTTCACGTTGTTTGTTAAAACATCTTTCTGGAGCTGAATCTTCAACTGAACATCAGCTTATAATTTAAGTATAATATTAACTATCACAATACATCGTGTTATAAACCATTATTAACTGATCAATAATATTCTACTGTGTCAATACACATCATCATGCTTTGCCATCGTTGTAATGTATTAATTAAACCGGAAAATTAAAACTTAGACCCGGAATTTTTACAAAAACATTAATCCAAATTACAGAAAAAAACTATTTAAAAAATTATAAAGAAGGAGTGAATATTTTTTTCGTTTTTAAAATGACAATGTTCGTAACAGTCTATATTTAACATGTTTAACTTTGCAGTGATTACTGCTTGCCGGAAATTTGAACGTTTTCATTCAGAAATGTAGGATATATTCTACTTTCTGTTTCACGTAAACAAAATCAATCGGCAATCCTCGGCTGACTCCGCTTCGCTCCATTCAAACCTCGGATGTGATAGGTGGAGGAATACGCAACAGATCGCTACATTTCTCCGCCGGAAGTGCCTTCTCACTCATTTTTCCACATGCTTGAAGATGGCCGAAAACGTT